CTATTCTTTTACTTCTTTTTTTCCGCAGTGCTGGGGCCTAGCCAGGGGTTCCTGAATGCCAGTCTACAATCACAGCCTTTTTTATTGCTTTATTTTGAGGCAAGTTCTCACTAAATTTCCCAGGCTGGGCTCGAACTTGCAACTCTCCAGCGTCAGCCTCCCAGAGTGCTGGGAATGCAGACCTGCACTGCCTCGCGCCCAGCAATGACAGCTATTCTTCTTATTCCCATTTTACAGACAGGAGAGAGAGAGGCTTGGAGAAAAGAAGAATAAGACATCCAGTGGCCAGATTTGTGGCTGGGTTCTTAAGGACGGGGACAGCAATACGATACCATCTGTAGAGTCTAAACTTGCGTATATTATCTAGAGATTCAGCAGCGAGAGCCCAAAGTCTTAAACCAAAGTTGTCCCAAGTGGTGGGAGAGGTGTCTTGAATTTCTCAGCACTGCTCAGATCTTACAGCCTTGCTGGACCAGGGGCCGGGGCGTTTATATGACCAAGACGCCTCTCCCTGTTCTCCTCAGTGGAATAGGACCAGTCCTATTCTCACCGCTTGCTGGTGCTGTGCGTGGGTGATGGGATTACTAAAAAGCATTCTGCAGACCCAAGGGAACAAGTGACTGTTATTTGCACCAGGCTGACTCCGGCAGGGGGTGCATCCTTCCCGCCCCGGCCATGTCCGCTGTGTTAGAGCAGAGTAACTCCCTCCAGGGTATTGGACTCATACATCAGCCATCAGTTCTCCGGGGAGTGTAGCCCCGCCTCTTTAAATGTGAGTGACAGATTAAAGTGCTAGGGGGAAGAGGAATTTGCTGCAGGAGAACAGGGAATTTATGGTCCTCAGCTTGCCCCGGCGCATTGCTGCGGCCATTTGAAAACGTCTGCCAGAAATTGGGTAAGCGTCACCCGGGGAAAACAAAACAGAAAGGCCCCCGCCCCGCCCGCGACCCGCCGCCACCTGCTCCCGTGAAAAGGCCAATTGAGGCGGCAGCGGTGGAAAACGTCCTCCAGGGGCCGTTCCTTAGCTGGCGGCCGGCTGAGGACGCAGTTTGGCGGTGAGTTTCAGTATTCCCTTGTAATGTTTTACAACCCAGACGCCATGACAATGGCGTCATTCACTGCCCCCGCTCATGAGGAACAGAACGCGACAGGCGGCCGAGCCGGGGAGAACACAGGTCCTCCGGTCCTGCCTGTGTCCGGGGACGGATCAGAGCTCGTCGGTCCATGGTGAAGCCAGCCTCTGGCTCGGTTGTCCCCAGCATGCTTTGCACATCGGGGTGGTTGTGTTTGCCAAACAGTTGGTGTGTGGGCAGTGGTATTATCAAGTCTAAGTCGGGGGATGGGAGCTTTGGGATGGGACTGCCTCTGAGCTGTGCGATCTGGGGCAGGTGGCATAACCTCTCTGAGCTTGACTTTTTTTTTTTTTTTTAATCTCTAAAGAAAGTCTAGTCATACACCTGAACTGAGGTCCTTTCCAGGATCAGATAAAGGAAAACAACACAGTGGCTGGTACATGCAGAGGACTTTAAAGAACAAAGTGCAGGAAGCAGAGGAGTGGAAAGGACGTGGACGGTGACCAGGAGGATGGAACCAGCTCCTGGGGCTCCCTGTTTTGGCAGTAACTGCTGAAGCTGTGCAGAGGGAAACAGTATACCTGCACTTCACAAAGATTTCATCTGTAGGGACAGGACACTCACAGGGCTGGTTGATTGCTCACCCCTGTTACCCATCCTCGGTGAAACAAGCAAGCAGACAGCACCCTGCTGGGGTGTGATGCTGGCGTTCCCTTCCCGGTGCTCCGCCCTCTTGCTGCATGGAGAGGTCCCTGCCCCCCCTCTGCTCCTGTTTGACACCTGTCAGATGGGCTTGGAATGCAGCATTTTAGGCATTAAACAAGAGGCTCCTGGTGGGTGGGCGGCAGAGAGGAGGTTCCGAGCTCTTTAGAGGGAGCAGGCTGCGAGGATGCCTGGCTGTTGGGATAATATTGCTTCCCCACTCCTGGGAGTGTCAGCAATCAAGAGGCGGGCTTGGCTTTTCCAGTGAGTAATTTTGCAATTTGGCAGTGCTGGACCGGAGAATTCCACCGAGTCCATTGATACATTCTCTTGTAAATTCCCTCAGCCAACATATTTTGGGGATTATTTTCTTTAATTAAAAGGAATAACCATCCCCATTAAAAATATAAAACCAAAAGACATTTTCCCCTTCCTCTTGGAACTCTGACAGCCCAGTACTTGACCTAAACTGACCCAAATAGAATTACCAGTGAGATTTGACAACTTCTGTAGTGTTTTATTATTATTACAATTTCTCTTGTTCTTTTTTTTTTTCCATTACGTAGCTTGAACTGCAAAGCCAGAGCTGTAAAGCTAATTTCATTCCTTTCAGCCTGCTGCCCCAGGGGGACACGCGGGCTAGCGGGGTGACTCTGGATGGCTCCAGCTGCAGTCTGAGATGGCACATGCCGTAGGGAAGCTTGGCTGGGGACCCCTGGGTGTCGAGAGGGCGTCTGCAGTCTCGTGGAAACTTGGCAGACACCGTGTGTCCCTTGCTGGCTGTTCTGACTCCCTTTCACATGACAGGCAAAGGCAAGGACAGAGGGTGGGGATGGCTGTGCCTCTGAGGATAGGTGAGGGGAGTCATATGCCCCAAGTCCCTGCTCCCCTAAAAGCATATTGTACTTTAGAATTGAAAAAGAGCAATCAGGAGATGTACAGGTATAATTCAGTGTAATTTAAGGACGATTAGGCTGGAATTCTGGCTGTGTACTTTGCTAGTTCTGTCACCTTGGAAAAATTGATTAATTTCCTCAGGCCTCAGTTTTCTAATCTGTAAAGTGGGGATGCAAGGATCCTAACTTCAGAGGGTCACAGAACAGAAGAAATGGGGCCAGGCATAGTGGTGCACACCTGTAATTCCAGCATTCAGGAGGCTGAGGCAGGAGGATCACCAGGAGTCCGAGGCCAGCCTGAGGTACAAAGAGAGACCTTGTTTCAAACAAACATAGAAGAAGGGAATAGGCCCATGTGGCAACCTTCAGGATGTTTTTTGTGGAGCTCATTACACATTAGATAATGTCAGGTATACCGTTTAATAGGTAATATTAATTAATACCCTTTAATAGGTAATATTTTAATTGCCTTATAGGAACTATAGTTAGTACCATGAGCTTATGATTTCATAGATATCATTGCTTATAGTGAGGTTAAACTCATTTGGATACAAATTTAATTTAAAAAAATGTATATGTTAAGCCATGAATGGTGGTGGGCACCTGTAACCCAGCCTTCTGGGAGGCTGAGGCAGGAAGATTACAAGTTTGAGCTCAGACCAGGCAAATTAGTGACTTAACAAAACCATGCCTCAAATAAAATAAGATAAAATTGAGCCCAGGGTCTTTACACTGAGCCACATCGCCAGCCCTGCAAAAAACGAAAAAAAAAAAGTTAAAGAATATTTGGTTATAGGTGATGACCAAAATCACGACTGACTGAAGTCTGGGACTTCCTGGACTTCCTGATACTCTCTGGCAGTGTGGAGCCCAGGGGGCAATTCTTAGAATAAAACGATGAATTGTCTGAAATAAAGTACATAGGTTGTGAAGGAAACCAGTTGTGGGGAGGCGTGGCTATGAAGATGTTCAGAGTGGCTGGAGCGCTGGATCCTGCACTCTGTAAATGCTCTGCCAGTCTCTCTGCCATCCGTGAAGGTTGACCCTGCGCATGCTGCTTGCGGGACCGGAAGTTGGCTCTGTCTCACTGCGTACCCCAGGCTATGTTTTCTGTCTTCTTTGTCCTTCTTTCTCCCTTTCTCTTTCTTTCTATCTCTCTTTCTCTCTTGCTCTTTCTCTCTCAAACCATAGCAGCAGTGACTGTGATGCCCATTTAGTGAGCACTTATGATGAGCTGCGTGCATTTCTGAGTCTTTTACACTCAGCTCATCCTGAAAAACTCTTCTACAGACAGAAAGTGGAGCCGTGGGGAAACTAAGCACTTCAGTGGCAACGTGGACAGTAGCCTCAAAAGGAAAGTCTAAGACACAGCCAGAATCGGCCCAAATTAGAGAGACCTAAGGCCACATGTGACCTTCTATGTGGTCAGCCACTTTTAGGCAAAGACTTCATCACTTTTTAAAGACAGGTGCATATCCCGGTGTGATGGTGCACACCTATAATCCCAGCACTCAGGAAGCTGAGGCAGAAGGATTGCTGTGAGTTCAAGGCCAGCCTGAACTACATAGCGAGACCCTGTCTCAAAAAAAACCAAAGAAACAAAATCCAAAAATAAAGACAGGTGCATAGAGGTTGAATTTAAATAACTGCCCAATTTATCTTGCTTTTTTTCTTTTTCTGAGACAGGGTTTCACTATGCAGTTCAGGCTGGCCTTAACCCACTTTATAGCCCAGGGTAGCCTCAGACAAAAAGTGGTTCTCCTGCCTCAGCCTCCCAAGTGCTGGGATTGCAGGTATATACCACTATATCTAGTTTATTTAGTTTTTTGTTTGTTTGTGAGACAGGGTCTCACTATGTAGTCCAGGCTGTCCTTAAACTCATTATGTAGCCCAGGATGACCTCCAACTCATAATATTTCTGCCTCAGCCTCCTGAATGCTAGGATCACAGGTGTGGATCACCATGCTTGGCTTTCATCTAGCTTTTGACTTAGGGAATTCAAAGACATAGGGACTAGGTGGAAATATCTCCAAATGGCATTGGTAGTCAAGTGGGATTCCTAACTGGGGTGCTCTCCTGCCTTACTGTCTGTGTACAGAACTCTTCCTAGAGCTGCTTGCATAATGTATAAGGCATGAAAAGTTAGTGCCCTGATACAGATCCACAGCATATGACACACACGAGGTAACTGCGTCACTTTTCTCATCCAAGATCTCTTATTTTTCATCCCCTGACCTTTCTGGTGGCTGTATTTGATGTGTGGCTCAGCCCGTGGGAGGATCTGTACAAGCACACTGATACTCATGATTCTCTGTCTTCTCGCTTGCAGTAAAGAGTATCCTGTGGTCCCCAGGAGCACAGTGAGGCAAAAAGTGGCCTCCAACCACAGCCCTTTCAGCAGTGAGCCCCGAGCTCTCTCCACGTCCTCCAACTTGGGGTCCCAGTACCAGTGTGAGAACGGCGTCTCCGGCCCCTCCCAGGACCTTCTGCCCCCGCCCAACCCGTACCCGCTGCCTCAGGAGCACGGGCAGATCTACCACTGCACCAAGAGGAAAGGTGAGCGTGCTCCTGACCCAGTGCTTCCTCCCAGCAGCTTCTGTCCCTTTCTGGGGTGGGGGCAGGTGATGTTGAGGTCTCCACTGATGATCAGAAATTCAAAGCATATGACGAAGACAAGAGATTCCCTGATACAGTCCTCTTAATTCTGGTCTCTTTCTTGTGGAAAACCTACATGAAATATTCATATCTGTTTTACTTAGTCACGCAAGCGTGCATGCACATACTTCATGCACACACACATAGCAACACATGCACATGCACACACACTCAGAAAAATCTTTACTTTGGTGGCACACACACATTCAGAGAAGTAAGTTGTGTGTGTGTGTGTGTGTGTGTGTGTGTGTGTGTCTAAGGATTGAACCCAGGGGCTCTGTACTAAACCCTTAGCCCTTTTTTTAAAATTTTTCATTATAAGATAAAATCTCATGTTTCTAGGCTGGCCTTGAATGTATGGTCCTCCTGCCCCAACCTGAGTAGCTGGGATTATAGGCATGCACCACTGTGTCCAGCAAAATAGGTTTTTTTGAGAAACTTTTAATACAGATGACATCATATAACATACATTTTGCAACTTCCTTTTCTTGTTGTTGTTTTTTAACTTCCAGTTGTGGGGTACTTTGGGTGCTGGGATTGGACCCAGGGCCTTGTGCTTGCTAAGCATGTGCTCTACCACTGAGCAACACCTCCACCGAGGTTCATGTCTTAGATCTGTTTGCATAGCCCTTGATCTGCTTTGGTCTTGCTAACTGCTGGAGACAAGTTACTGAAAGGATGCAAAAGATGAAGCAGCTTTGCTTTGCCTTCCACTGTTTTCTTGGTCCAATGAAATCGGACGATTTTCCCTTAAGTCATCTGAGCCCAAAGGGGTGATATCAAAAAAGCAAAAATAGTAGCAGCTCCTTTTGGGAGCCAGAATCAAAGGGCCCGGCACAGCAGGGAGTTGGATTTGGCCATTTGAAGGCTTTCCTGGTACAGACTGGCCCCGTGGGGAGGAGGGCAGAGGCAGGGAGGCCACAGAGAGCCGGCTGTGCTACTGCCTCCCTCCCTGGGGGACTCCAGGCCTTCAGCTTCTGAGCCTAGGATTCCCCGCTCCGTAAACAGTGCTGGGTTCCCCAGGGCACCTGATTCCTGATCAGCGCTGTCTAGGTGGTAGCTGCGGTAAGCAGTAGGTGACAGACAATCACTGTGGACATTAGGTCCCAGGAGGAAGTGAAGAGATGGCTGTGGTCTCAGAATCAGTCGGGGTGCCCTATATTTGGCGATTGGGAATTTCTATATGGACAAATTGCTTAAACTCAGAGTCCAGAGAGAGAGAGATGAAAAAAAAGAGAGAGAGAGGGAGAGGGGGAGGGAGAGGGAGAGGGAGAAGGAAATGGAGAGAAAGACTGGAAATTTGGGCTCCTGGTAGGACTTTTCTCATAGGCTTGGTATGAAGTCTTCCTAGAATCCTGTTGGCTCAGAGTCCATCAGTATGCAGTCGCTGTTTTGCTCTGAAAGGCCCGAATCTAAGTCTTTAGTGTGGCCCGTTGGATCTCGCAACCCCAGCAGGCACACAACGCCTTTGCGTAACTGGGGGACCGAGCCCGGACCTTTAGAAAAAATCACCCACTTCCAGCGCCAGCGGCAAAGGCTTTGTTTTGAATCCCCCAGGGCTGAGTTGCACAGGAAAGTAACATAGCTTGACTGTTTGACATTTACCTGTCTTGGGCTTTGCTTTTCGATTTGTTTTTTCAATCCTGGGCATGGAACCCAGGGCACTGTGCATGCTGGGCACTGTACCGCTGAGCTCCCACCCAGCCCCCACCCTGGATCAGAAGGAGGGATAGCTGTCCGTCACGGGTCCTAGCAGGGCTGGGAGCTGACCTGGGTGACTCCTGACCTCTGTCTCCACCTCTTGGATCTTGAAGGCCTGAACAATATCACCCGAACAGCCCCCCGACCCAACTCCCAGCACATCCACAGCTGGATGGGCTGGAGACCAGATGCCTGCAAACATGTATGTCCCTCTGGGGGGGCGGGGGGTCCCCCGGAATGCATGTCCTGCCCAGAGATCCTGCTTTATGTTACCCTGAAGGTGCCTTTCCTTCGTCCCAAAGCCTCTCAACAACGCTGCTCAGTGGGTGCTGCTATTAACAGCTGTACAGATCGGAAACGGGCTCAGAAAGGATGTGGTTCTTCCTCTTCTGTTTTTTGGAGATTGAACCCAGGGCGTTCACACTGAGCTGCACCCGCCGGCCCTTTTTACCTTTTACTTGGAGACAGGGTCTGGCTAAGTTGCCCAGACTGGGCTTGCACTTGCTGTCATCCCAGAGTGCTGGAATTACAGGCCTGTGCCACCATGCTCTGCTTCAACTTTATCCCTTTTTTTTTGAAATGGGAACCGAACTCATGACCTCACACTTGCCAGGCAGGTGATGCGCCACTGACCCGTCTCCCGGGCCCTCGTTGGTGGTTCTTGAAAGTGGAATTCAAACCCAAATCTGGTTCAAACAGGTTTGCAAACAGGGTAGCCCGCGCCCTTAACCACTATCCCACTTTGTCTCCGATTCCCTTGCTTCTCGGCTCCACCCTCAAAATTACGCCTTGCACGGAAGATCTGCTTTGGAGCCTGGGTGAAGTGTGCGGATGGTGAGCTCACCAGGTTTGAATTAGGGAGCTCTGTTTATTAAATTGATGCCAGACCGAAAGTAAGGGAGGAGGAAGTTAAGAAGAATCAAAGCGCGTTTCAGGTCAGCGTTTACAGTGGCGTCCTGCGAATGCCTTTCGGGAGGCTGCACGGGGGAAGTTTCAGGTCTGAGGCTGATAGAACTGTTTGATTATGAGAGCGGTAGGTTTTCCCAGGGCGCCTGCAGGATCCTCACATGAACTCATAGTCAACTGTGTGGCCATTGGCGGGGCTGGAGTTGGTGGCTGGTTTGTTGCGGAAATAATCACAGTTGCTGCTACTCTGCAGCTGTGTGACTGTGGGTGCGCTGCTTCGCCTCTCTGGGCCAAGAGGAGGAAAACAACAGTGTCCACCTTTAGGGTTGTGGCGAGATGACCTGAGCCACATGAAAGCAGCGGAGCATCAGATGAGGAAGATCATGGGAGAATTGGAGCTGCCACCTGGGCAGAGGAGGAGCTGGCTGGGGGTCAGCAAAAGCCTGGGCTGCAGGACCCGAGCACGGGGAGAGAGGTGGGGAGTGCAGCCCTCGAGAAAGGCAGGCGTAGCCCTAGAGGACATTTTCACTGAGGCGTGCAGATGTCACCCTGGTCCTGGTGAGCAGCTGTTGGCGGAGGAAACGGCCTGGACGCTCCAGGACTAGGTTTTCGTCTTGGAAGTGGTCACTTTGCTGTGATGTAGGGACCCATGTCCCATGTCATGGACACCAGAGACCCATGCGGAGGCTGGTGCAGGCTCTGAGGTGTGAGATGTGGAGGAGAGGTCAGAGATGCGAGTGCAGTCAGGACCAGGACGCAGTGACTGGCTGGAGATACAGAGGGGAAGAATTGTCCCCTTTTTTCCCGAATCCGGAAACTGAAGCTTGGACAGGTCGAGGGACCTGGCTGGTTGGTGGCCAGGGCTGAGCCTCCCTCCAGAGCCTGTGGATGTGGGGTGCTTGGGGTGTGCACCTTGGAGAAGGCCTTTTGCCCATCTCACCTCCCTCTGCCCCCTAAAGAAAGCTTCCGGTGACAGGCAACACGCCAGCCAAACCCTATGTGTCGTGCTCGAGAAAGGACAACAAACAGCAATTCATCATCAGCCTCCACGCTGTACAGTGATAAGGAATCAGCAGAGGTTTCCTTCCAGCTTGGGATCCCGCGAAGTGATAACTCCGTGGGTGGTTCCCCCTGGTCCCTGCCCGCACGGCTGGCTATCTACTTCCCCTCATTGTCTGTCTCCTCTCCCGCCAGCCCAGGAGCCAGGCCCGGAGAAGTGTCAAAGGGTGAGCGGGCCAGGGGCCGCTTTCGTGTTTGGACTCCGCTGTCTCCAAACTATCTCTCCCGATGGATTGAGTCAGAAAAGCTGGGAAGGTCTTTTATCAATGTCATTCAATCAAACCCAGGACTCGGGGCCTGGGAGAGCACTTGTTTGTCTGTCTTCCCCCTGCAGCCCTGACTCTTACCCCCTCCCATTAGCGTTGAAATGTCATCCAAATAAGGATTGGAGCCAAGACACTTATAAACCTGGATATTCTGAGGGAAGGGGCGGTAGATGCTGGGAAGGGCTGTGCAGCCTGCATTTTCTCAGTGCTGTGCATTTTTAAAAAGCAGTTTCTCATTCTTTCCTACCCTGGGTCCTCGCTGCAGCTTTTGAGCTGGGGGAAATGCCCTCACCCCCATTTTGCATGGGGCAGAGGACTGAAAGCTGAGGTTAGACTCTGAAGGTGCATGCTGAATTCATCACATAAATATTTACTGAGCACTTACTATGTCCTAGGCACTATGCTTGGTGCTTGGGGGTAAGCAGAGGACCAGGAAGAAAGGCCCTCAACCCTCAAAACACTTTCTCCCTGGGGGAGAAAGATAGTAAGTCAGCAAAGGCATTTAATGATTGCAGATAGGGCTGAGGTGATACTTCAAGCAGTCTTTTTCTTTTTTCTTGTTCTTTTGGCAGTGCTGGGGCTGGACCAGGCCCTCATGCAGGCTAGGCAAGTATTCTTCCATTAAGCCTGAACCAGACTCTTTTGATTGCTAATTGGGGTTCTTCCTATAGTATCATTCCTATCATTCCCATTTTAATCTAAGTGCTAGGAGCATAGGATCACACACTCACAACTCATCCATCCAGTCCATCTGTCCATCCACCCATCCATCCATCCATCTATCCATCTGTGCATCCATTCCATCCGTCCATCCATCCATCCATCCATCCATTCCATCCATCCATCCATTCCATCCATCCATCCATCCATCCATCCATCCATGCATCCATCCATCCATTCCATCCATCCATCCATCCATCCATCCATCCATCCATTCCATCCATCCATCCATGCATCCATCCATCCATTCCATCCATCCATCCATCCATCCATTCCATCCATCCATCCATCCATCCATCCATCCATCCATTCCATCCATCCATCCATCCATCCATCCATCCATCCATTCCATCCATCCATCCATCTATGCATCAATTCCACCCATCCATCCACCCATCCACCCATCCATCCATCCATCTGTCTACCCATCCATAAGGGTCAAGGGTTACTACCTTGCCATGTTGGCTGAGCATGTTGAGTTACACGAAAATAGAAGCCCTGGAGCCATCTGTCAGAAAGAGCACTGTTTTGTGAGTCAGAAAGCCCAAGTTAGAGCCATCCTTCTAACTCGTTGAAGGTCACTTAGCTGGAGAGTGGCCGCTCATCACTCAGGCTCCAGGGTCTCTGTCCACGAGACTTGCAAAAGTCTTTCATCCACGTGAACTCAGCCTGCCAGGGAAATGACCCATTTGAGGATTGTGAGCATATTTGCTTAATGGGATTAGTGATTTGAAAGGATCTCTGTGAGGCTTCCAAGCTCTGGAATCCACCCAAATACCCCCAAGTGCTAGGTGACCTTCGAGAGCCAGCTGTCCAGTATCCCAAGGGAGAAAACAGGGAACACGAAGTAGACCCGGAATATTTGGATAGATAAGGTTGGAACCAAGAGATTTTAAAGCTCTGTGCCCACGTACCGTGCCAGGAAGATGGACAGAAACTGGAGTGTACTTAGTATTTATTATCTCAATTAAACCCCGCAAGAAATTTGGGTTTTATTTCCACTTACAGTCAAGAAATGAGATTGCAAGGGTGCAGTAATTCATCTAGCAGGCATCAGAGCCGTAACTCTGTGCCTTAGAATCTGTGTTCTGGAGTCATCACTAAAAATCCCTTTATCCAGAAGCAAAACCATCTGAGAACATCCAGGAGACCAGCACTTTTCATAGTGCTCTGCTGGGATGGGTGGTCAGAGTCAAGAACATCCCTGTTATCTGTGAGACTCGGTTGGGGTCAGAGCAACTGGCCGCTTTTCTATTTTGGTGATACCATAAATCAAACCCAGGGCCTTCACACTGAGCTACATTCCCAGCTCTTTGGTTATTTAGAAACAGGGTTCTGCTAAAAAACTAAGTTGCCCAGGCTGGGCTTGAACTTGCCATCCTTCTGCCTCAGCCCCAGGGTGTTAGGATTGCAGGTGTGCACTGCCATGCCTGGCTTAATACACACTTTCTTTTTTTTTTTTTTTGGTACTGGGAATCGAACTCAGGACCTTGCGCTTGCCAGGCAGGCGCTTGTGCCACTGAGCTATATCCCCAACCCTTAATACACACTTTCTGAAGCTGAGTGGTAGACTCATCTCAGAAGCCTTGACCCTTGATCACAACTCCTTCCCCAGCCGCGGAAGCTAATTAGAAAAAAGAAGAAGAAGTCAAAATCAACACAGAGATCCTATCCAGAGCGTTGCTCGTGACCAACCCGAAACTTGGATCCTTGCTTTGGAATTTCTTTCTAATGTGACGAGGACCGAGAGGAATGGGAGAAGGCTCAGGATCTGCTTTCATCAATAAACCACACTGAGTTTTTCTTAGTGCTCTGCATCAGATCTTTGGGATATTAAAGACTGGAATGCATAATTTTACGATTTTCCAAAATGTGTTCCGGCCTTTTTCTTATTATTCTCCGTTTTTGACTTGTAACAAATCTGGAAAGGGATCAGAAACTTGAGAATGGCTAGCTTGCCTTGTTTTTTTTCTCTTGCCAGCGGTACCCTGCAGCTGTACTTTCTGTTATTGAAAAGGGGAACGCCCTGGTTAAACAATAATAATAAAAAAACCTCCAAAGGTTACGAGTCCAGCTACGATGGAAACATTCAGATTTATGGATCTGGTGGGTGGAAGGGAGAATGGAAGGAAAAGGATGGAGAAGGACTCAGCATGGACACGAACAAGCCCAATGTGGCAATGTATTGAAGACACCAACACAACACCGCTTTGAAATGGGTGGCCACTCGCTCATCTGGATGTCTTCAAACATCTGGATGGTTGGCATGCTGTGGATAGAACACCTGGAATAGTGACTGCATTTTTCTTTTTCTTTTTTTGTACAAATTTTTGGGTATCCTATGGGTCCCAGATGTGTCCAAGAAAGTCCAGCAAAAAATAAACTTGCATGCTGGGAGCGGAGGATGTGCACCAAGGATCATGTCTGCGTTGCTCACCATGCTGTCTCTGGCTCCTGCACAATACCTTGCACTTGGTAGGAGCTTAATAGATATCTGCTGGTGATTGGGGGAGAGGCACTGGATAGTAGAGAACTAGACAGCTGGAAGCAAGGTGTGGAGAGCAAAGGAAGTCAGCTTGGCTTTGAATCCAGCCTCCAGTCCTGCCCTGCCATGTGACCTTGAGCAACTCATCTCTCTGTGCTTCACATTCTGCCTCTGAGAAATTCCCCTGGAGGAATTGCTGTGAGGCTTCAGTGGACTCACTTAGTAGGTGCTCAATAAATAACAGCTATTAATTTTTCCTCCCATTATGTAGTATGCTGTTCTGCCTTCATGACTATTGGCTATCCTAGTGAGTTGGACAGAAGCTCCATTTTCTTTGCACCCCTCAAAGATTTTCTTTCTGTCTTTCTTTCTTTCTTTCTTTCTTTCTTTCTTTCTTTCTTTCCTTCCCTCCCCTCCTCCTGCCCTTCCCCTCCACCTCCCACTCCTTTCCTCTCTCCCTTCCTTTTTTTGTACTGCTGGGGATGGATCACAAATGCTAACCAAGTGCTCTACCGCTGAGCTCCAGACATGATTTCCTAACATTTATTGATGAGGAAAGAAAGCCTTTAGTTTGGAGGGTCAAATTCCAGCTAAGGAAGGAACGTGTGTTGAGTTTGCACCTTGGTATTTATCCCAGGCATTACATTCCCAAAGGAAACAGTGGGAGGGGTCATCAGGACTTAACTCTTCGCTCTGCTGTGAGCTTGACGGGCAGGTTGTCTTTGCAGTAAGAGCTGCTCTCCGTGGTGGGGGTCAGGGGAGTCAGACACTGCACCTTCTTTAGACTCTCATCACCCAGTGAGGTTAGAAATGACCGAGATGAGTCTGTGAAGGTAGAGGCCATGCAGGGATCACACAGACATTGAGTAAGGAACTAGCTGCAAGTCCTGGTATGTCTAGGCACCTTGACTTGGAGGCTGGGCCTTGTGGAATTCTCAAGCCCCTGGAGTGGTGTAAAAAACTGTGTGTGTGTGAATACAATTTCCAAAATATCATGTTATGGTGTATTTTTCTAGGAGACAGCCCAGCACTGCACTTTTGATAGTTTCTGAAGTGGCCAGTCACTCCAAAGTGTGAAGGAAATCACTCCTTCAGAGGTGGAACTAGATCCACTACTCTCCACCAGGAACTGACTAGTGTGTAGAGGAAGGGACTTGCTTTGCCAGGAATGAATAACACATTAGTTTGCACAGAGTCAACAAATATTAACTGTGTACCTGCTTGCATATGGCATCAGGGAAGGGGATTCATTCAGGATCCCATCCCTTTGTCCATTTGCCCGTTCATCCATCCACCCATTTATTATCCTCCCATCCGTTTGCCCTTCCATCCACCCATCCACTCATCCATCCATCCATCCATCCACCCATCCATCCACACA